GTCAAAAATAGAGAACCTGAACAAGCGTGCTCGGGACCTCTGAGCAATCGTAGTATGCCTGAGCACTCCAAATAAAACTTGATCAATGGCAAAATCGTTCCCCACAGAAAAATCATACTTTGCAGGTCTTGCGTTGCACGCTTGGAAGTGAAGTACAGAAGGCGAGTCGCTACGCGTATGACCTTTCGGACTGGACTGGATGGACTATTCCAAAAATAACAACGTGTGCGAGGCAACCCCCGTGACATGGATTTCTGTGCCATGTCACCTCCCTAGTTTGAGTACGACTCCCTACTGGGACAGACTGACGATACAGCCTTTTACAGGGTTCTTTTTGCTTATTCGTATACATACAGGTATAATTTTCGAAGTAGGTATACCTGGACCTGGATTATATGGCGAATAGTCGACGCGGGGACAAAATCTTAATTTTCGTAATAAGCAGGATTACCTTGAATTGGTCTTAGCATTTTAAATGCTTTTTTAAAAGGTGAAATGTCCAACCGCATCAGTCAAAATGTGGTGGCTACGGCCCTGCAGATTATTTCAAAAGCCGAGAGCAGAAAGTTACCATTGGCACTGCCACCAGCCCTCCCATCGTGAGCACAAGTGGTGTGCGCAAGGCTCAGTGTTGGGCCCTTTACTTTGCCTACTCTATGTCGGTGACATTGAGTCCGAGCTTGGTTAATTATTTTAATGTAAGTATTACGCGACTTGCGGATGACATTCTTGTCTACAGCAATGGCACGGATGTTCAAGCTCTCTCCCCGTAACTTATGTACAGCTACAATTCACCTGCAGACTTTGGTCTTTTAAAGCACAGAAGACTCAAGTCCTGTTCTTGCCCTGTTCTCACGACAAGCATCACAGCCTCCATGTTATATGCGGCACTGTTCCCCCTGATGTTGTATCTACCCCCAAGTATCTCGGTGCATACATTGACTCTGATACAGTAAATCCTGTCAAGGCGGCCACCTGTCCCAGAAGACCACTGCAACCAGCACCTAGGGATGCTAATCAAATGACCCTGGCCCGCTGATAAGGAGACCACCTGGTAACAGAGATCACGTTTCAGTGAAGGTCCCTTGAGCGGTCGGCTTATACAGGTTTCACTGTAAGCAGTGGTCCAGCATGATGAACTCAATTATTCGAAAAGCTGCTCCTAGAATTGATATCTTTGTATCGTAAGAGAAACTATTTGCCTTTGCGATGCCGTGTCCTGTACCTGACTGCTCTTGTTTTACCTGTTTTCATGTATGCCTCAAATTGTTTTGCCCTTGGCTTAGTGACCCATCACCGTCACTGTCTTCAAAAGCTTCTGAAGCGTGCTGTACGTGCTACATTTAATGTTTCTTTTCGCACACCTACCCCCCCCCCCCCTCTCCCCTTTGTTGTCTCAGCTTGGACTTGAACCGCGTATGTGCACATATACTAAGAGACTGCTTTCTATTGTCCGGCGCGGTGTGTGCGAAAGGACATTATTCTCCGCTGCTCACTGATCCATTCTTGCCATTGGCCAATCAGACGCGAGGTAGGGCCAATAAAACTTCCTAAAGTTACCCCGTCGCCACTCAGGATTCGTGCACACACAGTGAGCTTCAACGGTGTGTTCCTCTGGAACACACTTCCTGCTGAAACACGATGCCTCAACATGCTGAAGACCTTTAAAAAATTAATGGCCGACTACTGGCAGCAATCCAGTTCCCCTCGTGTACTAGCCAGTATCTATTAGTATCATAATCATATGAGTCTTCAACCTCATTCTCCAGAGTATCATATTACTGAAGTATCTAGTATGATTACCTCAACTTTTCTTGTTGTTGCTTGCTGGGCGGACCGAACCATAACTGCTGTTATCACTACTTGGCCATTTCCTTCCACCATGCAGATCTTTTGGGGTTACTTTTATCTCTTGTACTCGAAGTGTTCCGTTTGTTCACCTCCTCTTCATTCGCTTTTCTAAAGTGGTGCCATGGTCATTACATGTAGGCAATTTGCCTGCTCTGGTTCCCACTCTGAATAAATACAATACAATACAATACCACGAGGACAGTCACCAGGAATCTTCGCTGGTGGCCAGAGATGCTTTAGCACCCACCTATGGTGCAGCTGTCATCCCAGCAGGCCCCGTTCAAGACAATTTGCATATTATTATACTGAATTTTACGTTCCTGTGACACTACCGGAGGCAGGTGGAACCCACACCTCACTGTTCTCACACACTTCATGCACTTACTAAGTACTTCCTGTACGCGGGAGCCATCTATTACTGGTCTCATCAGCAGTTCTTCGGATCAAGGAACAGAAGCGGAACGTCTGGCTACTGTTACTCAAGTAGTTGAAACAAGTGGCGCACCAAGTGTGTGGCACGTGTGTATGATTGGTATTAACATAGCATGCAACCTCTTCTAATTATTATGCACATGCAGCGACACGTTTCTCGTGAACAGGTATGGACATCCTGAATTCTGACACACGAACCCTAACTATCCTAGTGTTAGGATACTGCTAACACAACGATGCTAACACTACTGCGGTTCAGCGGCAAAGTACGATCTTTGCGAGAGCTTGGTCGTGCAAAGGAGTATAACTGGTTCGACTTGTAACTCTGAGCTCAGTTGATGATATCTAAGAAGCTGGAAAGAGCTGGATATCGGGAGATTGAGTACCACTGTGTAATGTGGTTTGCCGCTGTCAGAAAGCCAGAGAAGATCACAAAGTTCCACTATAGGCTTCTTTGCAGTACTTTTAAAAGTTGTGTGTAAAATACGTGGTTGCATCGTGACTATTTGACGCTTGGCTTCTCTCGACACAACGTTCATTGCATCACCGAAATCGGCTGCAGGCTGGACAGTGTCGACTGCAATGGCTTCGTGCTGGCGGATTCTAACATCTACCTTATGGGTGCTTTGTTTATTTGAATTCCTGGATCGGGCTAGGTGTGTCAATGGAAGCAGCCACAGACCACTGATAAAAGTCCCTGTATATCCTGAAAATCCATATGCTACTCAAACAAAAACAATCCGAGAATTAATCGGAAGTCGTAAGGCTTACCGATTCGTGTCCAAAGTGCTCGTCAAGGAGGTGGTCATGTTCAGGGAGAATGATCGAAATAAGTTCACACCGCACCTTTTGATCATCCATAAGCGAATAGATCATGAAACTGCCTATTTCAACGTTGCCGTGTTTGATACAAGCTACATCGGAGGTCAAACCTGGCAGTTGTTTGAGCGTGAGATTGACTTGAACGAGACACTGGGTGAGGAATGCTGCTGTTTCAAAACTTCGCCAAGCGTGACTGTATCCCCTTGCAAGCATCAGGTCATCCTACACGGTTTTGGCCCTGGCGAATGTAGCAACTTGGTGTTGCTTTACGGCAACAGGCAAACAAGAGTTATCAAGGCGCAAGGAAGGAGTGAGAGTCCCCAGGTGCATGAAACCGGGTCGTCTCTCGTCGCCATTCCAGCTGCCTCGAGGACGTGTGCAGCAAATACCTCAAATTCGTCGTTCTTCCTCTTTTCATTCGGAGGTTGTATTCGAAGTAACGGTAATCGCAGATGCCGTAATACCCCAAGCAATGTTCTATCTCGTCTCCATGTTCAGGGTCATGATGTCGGAAATTGGAAGGTTATTCAAACAAGCGATATGGTGACTCCTCACCCTCGCCCGTCTGCCAGACTCTTCGTTGATGATGATGCAATTCTGTTGTTTGTAGGTGGGTGGAAAGTGCTTGACGGATCCGAGGATACGGTCACTTTGGATATTTGGAAATTCGACACCTTATCACTGACATGGATGGAGGTGAAAAATACCTATCAAGGCCCCATGAATCTTCTCAATTCATCGTTTGATGCATCATATCTAGCCGTTCCGAAGACCCTGATTATATATTCAATCAAGACACAATCTAGGCGCGTTCTCTCGGTGATAATCATTTGCAATGTTAAAGAATCCCCTGCGAACTGTGAAAAATTAGCGAGTCCAACGAGAGGTTATCCCTTGCGTTTCAGATCGATTGATATCATTTTCGGACAGACATCATTCTTCATGTTAACACCGGCCGGTAAACGTGTGATTAGAGCCATTGCATATCGCGGAAGCGATGGAAGAACGGGATCGCAGTATCACCTGGAAACAGAGATGATGACCAATACCAGACCATTCGCTGGTGTCAATTTGAACACCAGACAATATGCAGCTGGCACTCTCCTTACTCCCCAGACCAAAGATACACAAACAGCACTATTCTTTGGGGCTACCACCAGGTTGCCTGTAGAGAGTCACACTACAATTCACACTATTCGCAGATTTTTTCGAAGTCCTCGGTTCACAATGCCTGTGTGGATACTGAACTATAGACGTGGAAAAGACCCCTATTCTATAACAATCGTCTACACCCTTCTCTACCCGTCGCCGGGACCAGATTGCCCTCTTCGCCATTATCACACCGTTACCTTGGTGACCAATAAAACAGCCATATTGTATGGGGGTTGCCCTCTACCTAAAGATGACCCAAAGCCGTGGTGCTTCAATACAAACAAACACTTTTGGGTGGAGGCGAACATCACATCTGGGATCGTACCTTCCCCACGGACACAACATGTATCGTTCAGACATAATAGATCTGCAATGGTGATTCATGGTGGAAAGGGCCGTAAATACATGAACCATGCCCTTGGAGATTTGTGGATGTTCATCATGGAAGACGAAGACCAGTGCAAAGGTCGATGGCATAACCTCACAGGCTACGTTAAGAAAGGACATCTACCTACCCAGTATGGTCATTCAGCCACACCAACTGGTCATGGAGTCGTGTTGTTTGGTGGATGGATACCATCGGATTCCAAACTGGTACTTGTTGACATCCGCTCAACAGTCGAAATAACCGTTCAAGATATACCAGTAACTCCTGAGATACCACAACTCTATGGACACAGCCTGTCATTTGTTAACAATGACCTGATCCTGCTTGGAGGTACAAAACCTCGTGGCAAGATGCGGGACAAAGAAAATTGGGCATTTCTTATTACCATCACAAGCAATGGTTCTCAAGAGGTGGCTACATCGAATAAGTTCTTCAAAATGAGAATCTGGCATCATTTTGTACTTGGCAGTATGGTAATTGGGGGACATACCGGTAACCCAAAATACCTGCAATCCCAAGTTCTCCTTCTCACCACCTCCAATCTGTGCCCTGTCGGCCTTGAACGGGACGAGAAATCCCAATGTCAACCGTGCCCTGTCGGAAAGTATTCTGCAACCCTTCAACAGCAGTGTATCAAATGCAACCAGTCCTTGACAACAGTCGGCGAGGCCGCATCTCATTGTGTTCCTCAGGGACCATGTAAAGACAATAGTTGTAATGGACATGGAGAATGCGTGGTCAACAAGGCAGACTTCAAACACATCTGCGTGTGTCGTTTCGGATATTTATCCAGCGATGACTGCAATGCACCGGCAGTGTACCTGATCTTGATGGCTTCTCTCGTTTTCGCCACCACTCTTACCACCCTCGTCATAGCTCTCACTCAGTTCCTGAGGAAGAGGAGAGCTTTGTATGCAAAGGAAATTGAACTCGTCAATACCAATCGTGACCTCTACCGCTCCAACAGAAAGCTCAGTCAAATAAACCATGGCACGTGCATTGCCTGGTCTGATCTGAAGATTCAGAGACAACTTGCCGAGGGAAGGTTTTGTAAAGTGTTACTTGCTGAGTTGGGAGACATGGCAGTTGTTGTTAAGCGACTTCCACCGTTTGTATCCACTGCATCGCCGTACGATTCCTTCATCCAAGAAGCGGAAGTTCTACGAACATTAAGCCACCCAAATATAGTTCTATTCCTGGGGGCTGGGAAGGAAAAGCAATCTAGGTGTCCATTTCTTGTGATGGAATACTTGATGCGAGGTTCTCTCTGCGATGTTCTCCATGATCCGTCCAACAAGGTTGAACACGCAGATCGACAGCGATTCTCCCTGGATGCTGCAAGAGGTGTCAAGTATCTGCATAACAGAGATCCACCCATGATCCACCGTGACATCAAGTCAGCCAATATGCTGGTCAGTGACAAATGGGTGGTGAAGATCGCTGACATGGAAACAGCACGATTCCTAGCCATCCTTCATCCCGATGGCAGCAAGCCAAATGAGAGGAAAACAGGAGGTAAGCAGGCAACAGATCCTTCGACGCGCACAGTATCAAATCCAACCCACCCTCAGGCTGATCAACTAACAACCCCATTATTGGGTGCTGCCAGTGTCACATCTGATGTTGATCGCACTGATGACGGCAGAGCTACAAGAGCAGCGGAGGGCACGACGTCACGTATTGGAATGACGTGTGGAGTTGGTACAGATCGCTGGCGATCACCGGAATCCATCAAGAAGAATCTGTACACGGAGAAACACGATGTCTACAGGTGAGCATGATGAAACAAGAAGCTTAGCTGCAAACCGAAGTTTACGATGAGTAGATCGTAGTTTTGTTGCTTTAGAAATGAACAAGAGAGTTGTTTCTCCAAAGTTGGAGCTTCATCTGAGTATTTTCTTTACTGAAGAGTTGAAGTTGCAGAAATGGCAGTCAAACTAAATCTGACAAGAGTCGGTTTTTTTGTAATTCGGCCAGTATGATTAGTTATTAACAACTACAGTATTTACTCTTCATCTTGGGGTTAGATATGGGGAAGTACGCAAGTTGTCTGATGATTGGTTTTGCCATGAAACTCTGAGTAACAACGAAACAGCCCTATTTTACTTCCTTTTGTGTACCTCATGCGTACTACGCTCTGCCCATTACGGGCATTTGAGCACTATTGCAGGACATGGGAAAGTAATAAGCTGGCACACTGGGGTGTGAGCCCGTCTCAAACTTGTCTAACATCGAAGTATTGTATGTCTAGAGGGTGCGTTGAATTTGGGTGATGCAGCGCATATACAGCCTCAAAACTTTCATCTCCCCATATTGTATTCTCTCGCTTCAGCTTTGGCGTGGTTATGTGGGAACTCTCAACTCGACAGATACCTTATGAACACCTCAGCAGCTCTGACGATATCCTGGATGAAATTGCAGGTGGCACCAAGCCCATCTTTCCACCAAGCATACCCTATGGCTATCGTCACATCGCTGAGCAGTGTATCAAGACAGATCTACAGGAGAGACCGTCAATGCAGCGCGTTGTCCAAGAGTTGCTGTCACAAATTGATCGCAACTAACGTGCGGCTCCACCCCATACGAAGCAAAGCACACCGCAATTCAAAACGTTCACAGATTTTCTGAACTTCTGACGTTGAGATATTTCCCAATGCATTCCCCGATAACAGCACAAATCTGAAATTCAGAAGTACATACACTTTGCTTCACATGTACATGTTTTTCACCTTTCGAACTGCTCAACATTCGGGCAACAATCTGTTCCAGCCCATGCATGCAATACCACTGGAGGCAAACAGTAGCTGTCCAACCTGATCCAATCTGAGTAACCACACATACAACACAGTGAGCTGCGACTAATTGATCATCGTCCTCTTGCTGTTTCTACCATGCTCTGTGTTTCTGCACATTTCTCAAAGTAGTTTTGAGAATTTGTATACATATGTTAGGTATGTCCTCCCGTATAACCTACAACCTGTCCCAAGCTGGCCTGCATGACCTTTCGTTCCGTTGGCCTGGGTAGCTACTTGCGCGCCCATATTCGCCATAGCTACCCAGGCCCTTTATCTTGCATTCGCCCTCTCTCGATCTCTCTCTCTCTCTTTCTTCCATAATGTAGTCGTTTCGTTCGTCTTTGTCTCCGTCTCTTCCTCTCCCATAATAGATTTCGTTCCACCTACCCGTGCCCGTTGTCCGTTGTGTCTGGGGGTATGATCCCGTATAGAATCTCAACACGTACAGTCAATTTCGCTAATACCGACTGCGGATATAACGACAATTCGCGAATAACGACACAATTTTCATGCCCAGAGCAAAGTCCCATCCAACTGTGACACATATAATGAGACTGCGGGTATACCGACACTTTGCGAATAAGGACACTTTTCTGATGCCCCGCCGAGTGTCGTTATAAGCGAAGTTGACTGTACACGTAGAATTCTCGAAGTAGGTGTACCTTGAATTATACGAATAGTCGACGCGGAGACACAACCTTAATTTTAGTAATAAGCAAAATTACCTTGAACCGGTCATACCATTTTAAATGACTTTTTAAAAGGTAAAATGTCCAACCGCACCAGTCAAAATGTGGTGGCTACGGCCCTGCATGTTTGGCCAGATCATCTTTCTTGGCTGCGGACCGTGAGGATCATAGTTATGCAACATCATGCAAAATCAATGGTCATTCCGTCCCCACTCACCGTCTGCATCGGGAAAGTCAACATCGCAGCCACACGACAGCAGATAGTCACAGCACTTGGCACAGCCGCCGTGCACCGCCAGGCACAGCAGGCTGTGACCTTCCACGTCGCATCCGTTCCGCACCAGCTTCTCATCACCGGCCGCTCGAATGTCAACCACCGATAGCTTTGCCGTGAACCTGGCCTGCAGCTCGGAGAGATTGCCTTGTAAGCACGGAATAGACACCTTGCTGAACTCAGTTTCGTTACCCTAATAGGAAGAGAAACAGAGCAAGATAATACGAAACATGTATAACCTAGAAGAGCCCAGAGTGTACATGAAGGAGCGAAATACCCCCCCCCCCCCCCCCGGTTGTATTCCCCATCCCTCACCCCACCCATGGGTAATTCTAGCTGGTACCCCAAAAATTAGTTCTAAAACAATACTGTTAAAAATGTCATGAAAGATACGCTCTCCAGATCTATATCCATGGAATGGGCAGCAATGTTCAATGCTATTATGTAGCCATACACAACTAGGCCATCATTGACATCTGCTGCATGCTAGGAACAAGTTACCATCATACTGTTACACAACTCTTACATGATGATCAGATCCAACCACATTATGAGAACTAGACCATCACTGACATATATTACCACATGTACCAGCACGACAGAACCTCTCTGACATCCCACCACACGTGGGCTCCTCACGTTGCCGGTATCACCCTGATGTTGAATCATGACGGGCCATGCCAGACAATTTGGTAGGTGTACATATTGTAGAAGTTCATTGGCAGCGAAGACACCGTCCATGATGTAATGCGGGAGGTTTTAAAATGTTTCGATGCCGGTTCATTTTAGGTGCTTAGATGGCGTTTCCTGTTATGTAATTATAATGCCTCACCGAAGCAACCATAGCAAGAGCTGTCTTCACGCAGATGGCCTGGCATCCCTAAGCACAAACAGACAAGTGACGCATTTACAGAATTACCTAAGCTTACCGCCATCGCACTGATGTGCATTACAAACAAAGTGCCCATATTTATACCAGTGATGACGACCAAGAACCTTGATCATCAAAAGAAGCACAATATCTTATCACGCATCAAATTCACAGAGGCCTCATCAATTAACAGGGTTTTACCCAGCATGAACCTGAAGGGAGGGGGGGGGCATGGTTAGCTAGCACAATGCAACTTCGTTGCTAGATCTGCATCATCTTGCATTCGACATGGAGTTTCGCATTTGCAGATACTGCGGCCGTTCCATTATTGACTCAACTACTGCATTGAACCAGCACGGTCAACTACTATTGAGCTGCTATTCCAAAGTACCATGGATGTCAGCAATGTGTTGTGCAGAGGAGTACTGTGATCCGTGCGGATTTACTAGGTCGAACCATGCACTCATGCACAATGACAGTGTTGGATTTTGAAGCTGGTCAGTGATCCTTCTACTGCTGATCTAATACAGAGACTCCCTCGATTTAGACTAAGCTGTACGGAGGCCTGTGGAGAATCCATAAATGAAAATACACAAGAGCTACACAAAGGAAAGGAGGGCTGTTTCTTTTTCTTCTTCTTTTTTTTGCTCAACTAAAATACAAATACAAATACTTGTACTCACAAGTTTTTCAGCAAGTGCATGAGGTTTCTTTACAATGACTTCGTTAGCTGACATGCGCCGAGCACTCGGCCCACCAGTGCACCCCATGTCGATCAGCGGAAGGATGATGTCGGAGGAAGCTCTAAGCGGCGCCTCCAATGGCTTCACCTGAAGAAGCACACCACACAATGTGTTTGAGCATATTTCTCCACTGTGTCAGTGCTTCGTGTTACTCAACTGTATCATTACTTTGTGTGATCTTGAATGCACGCATGTACACGTACCATTGTGCTCCCAGTAAAGCCGGCTTGCATGGAGGAAGGCAACAGCTTTTTCTCAAGGGTGTTGCCAAACTCACGACTCCGGCAACCGTTAATTACACAACGTGGCCAGTGCGGTATTTCTGCCATTCCCCTTCGGCATGGTGCATTGCGCAGTCAGCACATCGGGAATCTCTGTGAAGGTTGTAGTTGCAGTACAAGCAATCAGATATTGCGGTAATTATGATCATCTTTCCCTCAAACCAGTGAATTATGATCATAGGTATCTTGACTTTAGGCGTGCGTGAAACCCCTCCAAGGAAGCCTGCGTTCCCTTCTGCAGCTACACGGTTTTCACCTGTCTGGAGTTCTACATATGCATGCAGTACACAGTTGATCTGTTTCTCTGTCCACAAAGTGCTCAATGCCGCGAAGGGTAGAGCTTCCTTACAAAGAAAGTAGAACGAGGCGACTCAAGTTTCATGCCTACGCGATCACTCAGAGGAAATCCTTCGATCGGTGTTGCCTGATGATCGCGGTAGCGTGAAACTTACGAAGCGAGAAACCTCGTCCTACCCTACGTGTTGTATGCATGGAGTAAATTGAATTGAAGTATTGTTCTTGTGCGGAGTACATACCTTGTCACGTGTGACTTTGTCAAGAAAGTCCTGGGCGCTACTGAACTCTTCATTCGTGGCTCGGGCGTCGTGTCGGACAAACAGCCTGATCGCGGAGCGGTGTCGGGGCTCCCCGCATTCTCTTGTTGGTCCAGCGTCCTGTCTCCCTTCAGTAGCGGCGGTATCAGAGCTGGTGGCTCTGTGCTCAGCGGTTTGGTCCTCTTCAGGGCTCTTCCCTTCATTCGCCTTCTGCGATAGCTCCAGCTGCTCCGAGTCATTTTCCATTGGTTCTTCGGCAATCTCATCCAAGGTTGAAGACTCCATACTTCACGTCCAGCCTCTTGATGGGATGTCTCTGGCGGCTCGATACAGAACCGCAGTGTGACTGATTCCTAGCTAGGCATTCCAGCAAGCGATTAGAACTGCGCAGCGCTCAGCGACGACCATCGTCCAGAAAATACAGCTACCTTTTCAAATAAAAAACACGAACAGGTGATGGTGCGTGGAGCTTGAACCATGTGAACACTTCAACAGAATCAGAACGGTCTGATCCTGGCCTGTGGCAGTGCAGTGTGGCCCACTGTGGGCGGCTGTACTCCACAGCTAGCCTGGCACTGCAACCATGTGCCGGTGGAGTAAACCATGGACATGGTAAACGCAGTCCGCAATCCGTAGCCATGGTTGCGTGTCCACCTGGTCTATGCATGTAGTGCAGGCTGTCCTACCATCATGACTTTTGTCCCTACATCATTGTACATAACAGTTTATTCAACCCCCCCCCCCCCACATTAGGGGTCGTCCGCAATTATCGAAAGTTTTTTCCAATCCGTAGTAGCTTCAAATTTTTCCTCACCCACCCACCCACCCCCCCAGTCCGTAATAAAATATTATTGATGGACACACAACGCAACACATATGGAACAAACTCAATCAGTGCTGGTCCATCCTTGTTCGTCGTCTTGGACAACTGCCACAAGCAATTTATTGTTCTGTAATAATCAGAGTCACCAGCGGTTTCGAAAAAGGGCTGCTTCTTCACCGCCTTTCCAAACAACGTCGCCTGTCTGGACATAGTCAATAACAGTCGTCAGCGCCAGCGCTAGACGGAAGGACTTCAAAGGAGTGCATGGAAGACGGTACTCTGGACGAAGGAGACAGTGAAACTCAAAAATAGAAGGTGTCGACTCGCCGTCGAATGCGCCGAACTTTATGATCCCCGGGGGCCCCGGCCCAGGAGGAGCAGCCAAGGAAGCGCGCGCGGGGGCGCAGAAACTGCCAGAACTACAAAAATATTATATTAAAGTAGTACTAGACAGTTCGCGCGCAGCCGCGCGTGGAAAACAGGGGCTACACGTAGACGTACACGTGGCACGCGCACGTGTCATTTCGGAAGTTTTTCAATCCGTAACTGGCCTTGACCCACCCACCCACTTTCGAAGCTACTACGGATTGGAAAAAACTTTCGATAATTGCGGACGACCCCTTAGTGGGTGCATGTAACTAATAATAGGCACTTCACCCCATTTTTTGAAATCGCGTTTTTTCCAGGTTTATCATCGGTAATCGATGGTGGTGGGTATCACAAGGTCACACAGAAAATTTCATTGAAATCCACAGTGATACCACTCAGATATGAAGGGTTGAAGATAGGCAGTTGCATAAGGCGAAATCAATACAATTTGTGGCACCAACAGCATCTCCGAAGTATCATCAGTGGATATAGTCACAAAACATCAGAGTGTTTTTTTCAAGCACACATCACTCACTTACACCAACAACCCTGTATGGATCGAAACAATACAGATCAAAGTTCAGAATAGGCAAGAATACGACAATTGTGACCGCAATCACTATAGCAACTCCATAGCAACGCCATAGTAACTCATAGTAACAACTTCAGTTTGCTGTGAAATGAACTGATAACGACATACTGGCAGGCTCCTGCGGGTACTAAAGCGTAAGAGCTATAAAGACATTCTTCTGGCACAAAAACAACAGAGAACTTCCTCGTTGTACGCCGTACACCGCAACGTGGAGGGAAAGTACGCGCGCGTGCGCGCGCGAATTACTGCACAGGACATTCATGCCCACAGTCATGCCATCTCAAGTGATTCCAAGTTGGCAAGAAGTTCCTCAGGACCTCTGTTGGTAGCTTCTTTCCCTGGTGTGATATCTGCCTCCCTCTCCTTCAACTGCTCCATGCAGCAGTCATGAATTGCCTGGTGAGCTTTGAAATTTTGGTGAAGCGTGCCTGGCTGCGTATATCAAAGCATCCCCTCATCAGAGGGTTTCTCCAGCAGCCACTGTGCCTTTTGATTGTTCGTAAACATCAGTAGGCCTTTCAGCGCAACCGTGTCAAAACTTGGCTTTCAGTACGCTTTGAGAATTCGCCCAGGTAGGACGACGCATCGTCGTTCTCCTCCGCCTAAAGCGCATACTTCTCAGTGCCTACGTACATAATGTCTCCTTGCGCAGCGATGCGCAAGCCCTGGCAAACAAGAACTCTACTGTTTCCGACTGGAAAGACGACGCTGAAGACGATAAGCAGCGTTTCAAACGCGAGCAAACAACAGTTCTTTGTGAAAAAACTCTTTGTTGGTAGTGTACGTGATCTACAACTCGCAAAAATGTACGCACTATGACGTATGCGGGATCTACTGAAAGCTGAACGTCAGAGCAACACGATGCGCCCAACTATCAGCCCGTACAACGAAGCATAGCGCGTACCTGTACAGTTTTGCGCATGCACTTGACTGGTGCCACGCAAGTACGCACTCTCACCTTAGCAAATTTTGACAGGTCCTGTCACGTGACTGAAGTGCCTACTAATAATACTTCAATGATGATGTACCGGTCAGTGATAGCCATAGCCATCCTATCCCTGAAACTGCAATTATCGCAGTCACAAAGCGAGAGTTCAAGTTAGTTAGTTGGCACTGGGTGTTACAACCCAGCCAATCTTGCGCCAGTGTCAGGACCGCTGGAAGCAGTTTTTGATTTGTCCGGCCATACGATAGCCCTTGCATACAGTTTGTGTGTGGTACTTGTACTACCGCGGCGGTTGCACAGAACCTCCTCAGCACTAAACACAAGTAGTTGGTGGGCAACAAGTTGGTCCGGCGATGACCTGCCCAGCCGGACCGGTTCCGGCGGGCCCGAGTATCCACTTGTAGTACAAACCTTGCCCCAGTTAGTAGTACTGAGTACTCTCACAAAGACAACGGCAACGACAACGGCAAAGACAACGGCAACGACAACGGCAAAGACAACGGCAACGACAACGACAACGGCAAAGACAACGGCAAAGACAACGGCAAAGACCACGGCAGCTTTGCTTCATAGGGATCAAACTCCATGGCTCCACCTTTCTGACATACACAGGAGAGTATACCGCGAAAGACAAGTTAATACATGTACAGGTTTTGGATGTATACACATTATAATAGTATGTACCGGCTTGACTTTATCAGAATAAGCAGGATAGTATAGGTATAAATTTCTGTGTTGCAAAGAAAGCCAAAAAGCTGCACAGTACAGAATATCAAAATCAAAATCACAATCTGGTTTAGTTGGTGGACTCGATCGCATAACTTGTGCCCACATTTTTCCATGTTACAATGTTTTGCCTTTGCTCACCATCTCAGTACAGCATATCATTTTAAAATAACAATCGACTGTAAAGTGACCTAACGGATTCACAGCTCCTACGAATCAATTCTACAGCAAAAGGAAGATGAAAAGAGAAAAGGAGGATTCAGGTCAAGGTCCGGCAGAATCAAAAATCACACCCGAAGTCCCTACACCAGCACCAACAGCAGGGACGCTTGAACACAGCCCCTGAAATCAGTTCGAGTCCCTCCAGTATAAACAGCCCTGGGAATAGCAAACTCTAAGGTGCTGGATAAGTACTCAGACCTGCTGAGAACGATCATTCAAATTCAAGACGGGAGAGTCACAGGAATGATCAAACATTCCCTAGTCACCATGCTTTCAAACAAATCCATTAGAAGACTCTGTGTGTGTGTGTGTGGACACAGCACATACCACAATTTCTACACTGGACAGCGGGTTATTCAGGTAGCTCTAAGCCCCAGCGCTCTTTTATCATGTCAGCCGCCTTCTCGGCAATCATGATAGTCGGTGCGTTCAGATTCCCGGAAGTTTCCGATGGCATGACAGATGCGTCGACAACGCGTAGTCCGGCTACGCCACGCACCCGCAGTGCTTCATCCACAACGGCCGTCGAATCGTCAGCAGCACCCATCTTGCATGTGCTACAGTAGTGGTAGCTGGTGGAGGTGTAGGCTTGCACGTACCTCTCCAAGCACTCGTCACTGTCCAGTGCCAGCCCAGGGCACACATTGGTGCGCAGCGCATCGAACACTGCCAACGTGCTCGACCCATTGACGTACGGGCTGAGAGCGTTCATCTTTAGGAGCTGCAGCAACATCCTCAGACTCTCGGCCAGCACTTGGACGTCACGGCGCTGCGAAAAGTACATGGGCCGAATCAGCGGGCTATCAAACGGCCCTGTTGATCGTAGCCGCATGTGTCCAACACTGTCCGGATGCAATAGGCTCATGTATACTGAGCAAGCGTTGATGTCCTCAGCACGCATGCCCGCACTGCGCACTGCCAGCTCAACAATACCTTTATCCATGTTGCCCATCCGGGTATCAAGGTCCGGGTCGATGCCCATACAGTTGACGTAGAACTGTACGTCGGGACGTGTCCAGTTCTCCGCGATGGCGTAGCTGGTGCGTACAAACCCCGTAACGTCCAGCGCTGACGTCGCCAGCAGTCCCCTGCCACGAGCGTAGTAGTTGAGCAGGCTGCTGAGCGACTCCGCATCCGCTCTTCTGCCACCGTGATGCCCGTTCAACAAGACCGACAGCCCGCTTATGACGTGGTCTTGCAGGTTCTTGCCGACGTTGAGCTCCTCCACGACTGGTATGCCGTGCTTGGTCAATTCCTCGCGTGGACCAATCCCAGAGAGCATGAGTATCTTGGGTGTACCCACCGCACCAGCACTAACAAGAACTTCTTTACGGACTCTGACTTGGATCGCACTTGTGGACACCGTGGGGAAAAACTCTACGCCGCCGGCGATTTTCTGCCGCATCAACACTCGGCTAACATGTGCGCCCGTCATGACGTGAAGATTGGGACGATGCCAGGCGGGTCGCAAGTACGCATCCGCAGCGCTCCACCGGCGGCCATTCTTTATCGTGTACTGAGTGCGGCCAAATCCAAACTGGTTCTGGCCATTGTAGTCACGCGTGCGGCCATAACCTGCCTCCTCGGCTGCATCCAATATGGCCGCGAGGGCTGGTGTGATCGGGTCGGCTGTCGTAACAGCCAGTGGACCATCATCACCATGGTATTCCTCATCTACTGGCTGAGATCCGATGTACGACTCGGCTTTCTTGAAGTAAGGCAGTACATCCGCGTACGACCAGCCCTTCGCACCGCTTTTCTCCCAGGCGTTAAAATCATCGGCGTGCCCGCGAGTGTACATCATCCAGTTTACTGACGAGCCTCCGCCAATGCCATGGCCAGCGATCCAGTTAAATTGACCTCCGTACTTCCATCTGCCAGCCAGGTCGCCAGGGTCAGTGTCGGCCTTGTAGTTCCAGTTGAGTCTGCTGGACGGCAGGGTGGAAGCCGCCAGGGGAATTCGCACAGACACCAAGTCATCATCACCACCGCTCTCCAGCAACAACACGCTGACGTTGGGATTCTCCGTCAGGCGCGCAGCCAGCACGCAGCCCGCTGAGCCCGCACCGACAATCACATAGTCGTACGACTCTCTCAGCTCGCTCAGGGTCACGTCGTTGTAACTAGGCGAGGTGGCGAGAAAATACGCCACGATCAATACTGCACTACATAAAACTAACAAAAATTTGCTTTTCATGGACATAGTTTAGTAAAAATAACTGTTAGGTTTATGATAAGTATACGAATATCTAACGAGTCAAAGGAAGTTTCGTGGCAACCACTTGGATCGTCCCGTGTAGGGTGTCCGATCTGGAGCTGGCCGCTAGGCGATACGACAAACTAATTTACTTCGATCAAGTATTAGTACTATTCCGAGTATTCGTTTGAGTTACACATCATTCCTGCCAAATAAATCCTGGTGGCACCTCAGCAAAACGAAGCAGCAAGTCCCTTCATTCATGCTGACAGTACAGCTACTAGTACAGTACAGGGATATTTGTAGTGTCCCCTTTGATGATTCATCCTATTATCTAGATGGGTCATGCATGTTGCGTACCCTCAAGCACACTGTATTAGTACTACTAGTACTAGACTGTAGAACCCGAAGGAGCACCTGCGACTGTCCACGTCCGGGTTATGCATTGTGGTTGTAGTCAGGACATACCGGCATACTATTACTAGGTCGAAATCGAAAACATAATAATTACTATGTTGTGTTCTTGCACTGATAATGAAAAGGGTTCTTTATTAAGCTTTGCCTCACTGCACTGGCATCAAAGACCCGTTGTTCGGGGGAGCTCGCTACCACAATACCAGGTTACTACTTTTGGCAAGTTTTGCAATCTTATCTCACCTGCTCACTGCTAGACGTCCGGTCCCGGAACCTCGGAACGAGATCATGAAGACTAAAGTAACCCAAATACACTTGGCAACAGTTAGCCCAGGAGACTTTGCCTACTCAGCAATTATTATTTCTCCCGCTGCCTTCGTGACCACCGCCATGGGCAAAGGTGGAGAACTTGACGATCCACATCACTGACTGCAGCAGAGATGATCCCCGCATGTCCGGTTGTCTGCAGCCCTGGAGTGCCTGGACAAGGTTTCCTTTCTTTGTGCTCAATCTCAGTCATATGAAGTCTGGACAGAATAACTGGTGGTAGTGTCACTGATGAGGGTACAGGAGGAAGTGGCTATCTTGTCATCAAAGACTAAGTCACTGATGGCCAACGCTCTGAAGTGTGCAGTGGAAGCGATCCTGCAGGCGTGGTAGCAACTAATTACTTCCTTCACCGCCGAGGTAACTGCAGCAGTAGCCGGTCTCTCTGCGGCAGGAGATCTACTTACGGCTGGCCTCACCAACACAGATGATCAACCCTCGCTGCCAGACCTCATCCTCGTTACGGACAGTCGTTCGTTGACTGATTCTGTTGCCGGCGATCCGTACCGTATGAGCCCAGATGCGATTCCTGTGTTTGAGGCTATCAAGAGCATTAGCCAGCTTGTTAGCAGCATCCACCTTGTTTGGGTTAGCAGTCACTGTGGCTTATTCCTCAATGACAAAGTAGATCACCTGGCTGCGGCTGGTACCCAGGTCCCCCAGGGTCACGTCCGTCTTCCAGTGCAAGCCACCAAGACTGCAGTCCGCAAGGCAACACGGTACCCGCCACCACTGCTCGACACCAAGAAGCTCGGTGACCTTCGGACACGGAAAGCGTCCTGCAAGCTGAGCCAGCTGATGACCGGCCACTGTAGTCTTCGGAATGGCTACCTCCACCGCATTGGAGCTGCAGACTCGCCTCACTGTGTCTTCTGCCCTGGCGTCGTCGAGGATGCAATGCACTTCCTTTTCGACTGCCCAGGAAGAGCACAAAGCCGTCACTCTGCAGCTCTTCAGTCGTCTTCATCCGTCAGTCAAGCTGTAGCCGACTCTCCCTACAATATTGCACGATTCTTGCAGTTGGAGAAACTGTTATGAAGTTTCAAACACAGACTTGAAACACAATACAGTCATGATTAACTGCTATTATTATGTAAACTCTCATTACACTGGTATGCGGTATTACCTTCCACATAGTCATTAGTCTAGTATGGCGTCATATATTTGTCTCAATTCAGTGTTTTCCGAAGAAGAAGAAGAAAAAAGAAAAGAAAAAAAGACTAAAGTAACTATTGTACTTACGTAATTCGGCGACTTGGACAGTGATCTGTCATTGGTCGACTCCAACTAACTTCCAAGTCCAAGGCGCCAATCACTGCGCGGCTGGAAAGCGCGGTCTTGCCTGCTCAAATGTAATGGAACTAGGGAGCCCAACACATACCGTGTAGGGCTCCCTGGATGGAACTAAATCCACTGCCCGTCGTCAAGTGACTGCGGATCAACGGTGGGCCATTTACAGTACTGTGTTTGGTGAACCGGTTGCGGAAAACGCTGACAACTGTGACATGTCCTCTGCAGCGGCCAGCGGCACTGAGTCTGTCGACGTCCCGCTCGTTTTGACCATGATTGACAAGCAACGAGCAACTGAGTACAAAGCCGCTTTTAGCATCTGAGTTATATTATCACAGCTCTGCTGTATCAGTCAAGGAATTGTGACGTCCCTGTTCCCTTTCTCACTTGGTTGCTGGGTTTGCATTTGTATCGCATTTTCATGATTGTGTTTGTGTTTCCTTTGCCAGGAAAAGAGGCTTTTGAAAATCATCATCATGGATTGAAAATCGATTATGGACAACATTTGATTTCGTTGATGCATGATGAACTGATGCCATGACAACAGAGTTACATGTAACATGTACAGTGTAGTTCTTTTTATTGCTTTATTAAAATTGTTGTCTCCGCTGCGTTTATTCATCATCATTATTTTTAGTTTTTCTTCCTACACCACTGCTGTATTGCCCATGTTTCCTAACTACCCGCTTGTGTGCACCATTTCTCTCTTCCCTAGCGGATTCAACGCTGTTTGTTTTTGCATGGAAATCGTGCTTGTGACAAATAATTGCAATCGCTAGCTTTGTACTTGAGGTCTGGGATCATGCCGCATGCCTGTTGTAAACAAAATTCATGCCATGTTACCTAGTACAACAGACGGACTTCAAGTACATGTATTAGGTAAAGAGAAAAAAGGACCTATAAGTTACTAGTTATGACTAACAGTCCACCAAGGTAACGAGATAATAATTATACAGTCAGATAGTGCGACAACAAAGCACAAAACTGACAAGGATATTGAGACTGTCATTCGACGACCTGACACCTAGCTCCAAAACATCTACGAAGCGCAAAAACTTCAAGTATTGTTCACATTTCTTTGGGACTGGCTAATAGAACTTGTAAAGTAGGTACCATAGGTTTATATAAAATAAAATAAACATGTCGCTACAGACGTAACGAGTACTCCCTTATGTTATAGGCGTATATTGTAACAATAATGCGCACTGCGGCCTCTTGTGGATACTACCTCATAAATATTCCAGTAAAAAAGGATGCGGGTAATTCCACAAGTCTTGGAAAACTACCACGGTCTAAATAACGATGTCCGGCAAATTTAGGTAATCGGGTTGAAGGCGCTGAAGTGGTGACAGAGACTAGAATACTCCATCAACGACTGTGAGAGAAAGGACATCGAGACATGGGCAAACAGTTTATTTTTTAAAGCAAATTCTATCACGTAGGCACTCCTCCCAGTGCAGCTTGATCATGTCAGCAGCCTGGCGCGTTGAGATTGCAGACAACTCCATCCGGCCTAACTGTGGGGAAAGTATATTGAGATACACGTATATATTATGGTCACCGTGAAAAGTTATTTTCGGAAACAAGTCCTATACCTTAGGCCTTACTCTCAATGGAGCTTGATCATGTCAGCAGCCTTCTCCGCAATCATTATGACCGGGGCGTTGAGATTGCCAGATGTCTCGGAGGGTATGACTGACGCGTCGACAACACGCAGGCCAGTTACGCCACGCACCAGCAGTGATTCGTCAACGACGGCCGTGTGATCGCTGGCAGCACCCATCTTGCACGTTCCGCAGTAGTGAAAGCTAGTCGTCGCCACCAACTGTGAAATCCTCTCCAGGCAGTCGTCGCTGTCCCAATCTAAGTCGCCGCAAGACCATCGGCGGTTTGTGTTGAACACCGTCAAGCCGTCAGATTCATTCACGTACCGACTGAGTGCTTTGGTGCGTATGAGTTGTAACATGAGTCTCACGCCCTCTCGCATTACCTGGATGTCACGGCGCTCAGAGAAATACCTTGGTCGGATGACCGGCGTGTCCAGGGGTTCCGCCGATCGTAGTGTTACATCTCCAGAGCTCTCGGGGTGCAGTAGGCTCGTGTAGAGCGTGCACGCGTCGATGTCCGCGGCCCGCTTGCCAGTGCTGCGGACGTGAATCTCGTCGACTTCCGTGCGTATATTCGCCATGCTGAGGGAAACCTCTGGGTCCATGCCTACGCATGCGGCGTAGAACTGAATGTCGGGCTGTGTCCAGTTGTCGGCGACGGCGTACTTAGTACGCACAAAGCCGGTCACGTCGAGAGCACTGGTTGAAAACGGTCCAGTTCCGCGGACAAAGTAGTTGAAGACTCCGGTCAGCGACTCGGCATCCTTCCGCGTGTATCCATGATGACCGTTGAGCAGGAATGGCAAATAGGTAACTGCATGGTCCTGCAGGTTCTTGCCAACATTGAGCTCCTTCACGACTGGTATGCCGTGCTTGGTCAATTCCTCGCGTGGACCAATCCCAGAGAGCATGAGTATCTTGGGTGTACCCACCGCACCAGCACTAACAAGAACTTCTTTACGGACTCTGACTTGCACAATGTTTGCAGTTTGTGGCCGGAGAAACTCAACACCGACTGCAGTTTTTTGCTCCATCAGCACGCGGCTGACGTGTGCGTCAGTCATGATGTGAAGGTTTGGACGATGCCAGGCGGGCCGTAAGTACGCATCCGCGGCACTCCACCGGCGGCCGTTCTTTATCGTGTACTGAGTGCGGCCGAATCCAAACTGGTTCTGACCATTGTAGTCACGCGTACGGCCATGGCCAGCTTCTTCGGCGGCATCCAAAATGGCCGCGAGGGCTGGTGTGATCGGGTCGGCTGTCGTAACAGCCAGTGGACCATCATCACCATGGTATTCCTCATCTACTGGCTGAGATCCGATGTACGACTCGGCTTTCTTGAAGTAAGGCAGTACATCCGCGTATGACCAGCCCTTCGCACCGCTTTTCTCCCAGGCATTAAAATCATCGGCGTGCCCACGAGTATACATCATCCAGTTCAGGGACGAACTCCCACCAATACCACGGCCAGCCACCCAGTTCACTTGGCCCCCATACTTTCTTTCACCGATTAGTTCACTAGGATCCGTATCGGCCCTGTACATCCAGTTCAGTCGGGTTAGAGGTAGTTTGGGAGAAGTCAGTGGTACCCGCACCAACATCAAATTATCATGGCCACCGCTCTCCAGCAACAACACGCTGACGTTGGGATTCTCCGTCAGGCGCGCAGCCAGCACGCAGCCCGCTGAGCCCGCACCGACAATCACATAGTCGTACGACTCTCTCAGCTCGCTCAGGGTCACGTCGTTGTAACTAGGCGAGGTGGCGAGAAAATATGCTACGATCAATACTGCAATTCCTGAAATTAGTAAGAGGCCTTTCATCGTTGCTGCTTTCTTGCACACTTCGGATGCTCGGTAGTTTCTGACGAGACAAAATGTGTTGGACTGGCAGTGATCTCAAGTTCTCCGGATATGCATTTCCGAGGGGGTATGGCAGACAAATAGGGGAGCCGAGTTAGCGAGCAATTAATTACCTGGTTTACTGCTGGCTAAGGATTACACATTGTCACATGTCATTGTTCCTAGGTTTTCAAAGCCAAATAATTCGTCAACAAACAGAAAAATGAAGTGCGGCGTTTAATATTTCATGAATGTCAATCATTCTGCGCTCTTGCGGAGTTGGACATCTACAACGACTCGTGACGTTTGTGACTGAGTTTGTCTGCCACTTGCCGTGAGTTTGGAGTACTAGTACTGGATCATGGAGTGCTGGACTGGTAGTGCCCGTACTAGGATTCGCTTATGTCAGTTATGACGTTATGTGTGAGGCAGAGGGTCTGTCAAAGTGTCATCAGGCATAGGCTGTCCATGGTCTACCATTGACTACCAACACTGACCTATCTGGACTCTATGTCTAACTCACAGTCACAGGCAGAGTTTGTGAAACCATGGTATACAGGTCTAACCTCGTTAGCACTAGACAACCGGGGGTTCATAAACAATAATTGTGCCTTAATTTAATTTAAGGCTTAAAAACGAGTATTACCGGTATCTACTACCCGGACTTGCATTTACGACTGTTGATTAAACTGCATTTCAGGTGTCAGGTGACTTTGGATCGTTATCTACTCCTAGCACACTGTATTGAGTTTGGTCTTGTACCCGGTGTCGTGCTAACCTCTTCGACTTGGGGACGACCACCAAGGCAAAGGATCGATGGTATTTTGTTCGCAATAGCGGGAGTTCTTATCCATGTTTTGTACTCAGTGATTTATCCGATAACGTTGTGAATACTAGCTCTTCAAAAACGAAGTTTTGTTGTATCAGTGTTCTTCCTACCGAGGTTTCACTGCTCCCCCCCCCCCCCCCACACACACACAGTCTAGGGGTGTGCGGATAATGCTCGAAAAGGTGGCAGATTCTGCTCGAAAAGCAGTGAAATTGGCAGAACCATACAAACCTTATGGCGGGCAATTCCTCGAATTCTGCTCCGTTTCTTTATCCACATACCAAACATGCATGAAACTTACCAGAAAAAGTACCGAATTCTGCCAATTTTGCTGCCGGCATTATCCGCATATGCCTACCACACACACACACACACACAAGAACTAAGTAAGTTGCCAATTACAAGTATCACATGCCCGCACGAGGGACAGCAGTACTAAGTCTAGCAGCAATTTACACTGCTTCGGCTGCCATCACTTGGTAGTGGGTGCCTCCCTGCGATTTCCTGCTGGCTTCGGCACTATGATGGTTTGCGTATGGCTATTATTGTAAACAAATTGGAGGGCATTCGTGAGTCAGTCATGTGTCAAGTAATGCAGCAGACGGCGTGAGCCAAACACAGGAGCAACTAACCTCAATTGTAAGTTTAAAACCAGTTGAAGTCATTGTCAGTGAGTGTAACAGGCTTCTAATCTTTAAAGCTGCAGTACCTAACTGCTGGTGTTAACTAGGCACCGGCGGATTATGCCGGCATAATTATTGGTATAATTTGGTGGTTGAAAATTTGGAGCATAATTTGGCATCCTCTCGGAGGTAGGAGCATAACTACACGATTATACCACAGTTCTAGTTTGTAGGCTTTACAATTGTGTACAATGCACCTGATCAGTGCTGGTGGTCTGCATGGTAAAGAGATCGGAGGTCATGCAGATAGTGTTTCAATGAAAAGCAGAGTAGAAATCATGGCAATACAGTATTGTATGCTCGAACTCGTCTTCTTCAAAGTTCTTTCTCACACTGACACAGTACATGTAGCAGAAGATGCGAGTGAATCAGCCTTCATCAGGTATCCCGGGGCGGACGAGATAGTGGCGGGTAGTCCGCAAAACTCCGTGTACATGTACATTACATTTGTACATGTACATTATGCATGTTACGAAGTCATGACCTCTGGATTTTAGCAGCCATGATATGACTGCAGGCTATGAATATTGCTTTAAATTGATATAGTTGATATTCGGTCATGATGGAAGGAGAGGTGGAGCTACGGGAGAGATGAGCTGATTATTCGCAGGGTGAGGGTGACATCGGTTGAACGAGTATGATGATTACGAAGACAGTTGAACATGATAATTTTCAAAGGTAACTCAAACTACTTTGGCAATGATATAATATTTTTACTGAAGTACAAAAGAAATCAAGTAATGAATAGAAGAATTCGGATGGTGGGCTAGGTGTCAGGCCGCCGAATGTCTCAGTACTCCTTGTCAGTGTTGTGCCATTTTGTCGCACTCGCTAACTGTGTAAGATCTGGTTTACGTTGGTGGACAGTTGGTCATAACTCGTAGCATTTTGTCCTCCTTTTTCACCATGAATAGAAGAAGTAATGTTTTCTCTTTTCCATGTTGATCTCTAACATGCATGGACATCTTGGTATGGGGATACAAAATTAATGTATTTTGTTGTACTTAGGCCACTTGCAAGTTGCAAGTACGAAAAAAGGCACAATTTTCCGAACTTTGAGGCTCCATAAGTACAACAAAGTGAATATATATCCCCGGGTGCCAAAGTATAGTATGAGGATTTTACGAGCATAATGCGAGAATCCATGAAAGCATAATTCCATGATTTCGCGAGCATAATCCGCCGGAGCCTAGTGTTAACACACCTATGAAGTTAAATTATTAACTAATTCTGGTCACGGGGTGGGTGCAGTACGCTAAAAGCACTTTATGCTCAAACGTTTACTCGGCGACAAACATGCTATACCGGGTAGGAGCACTAAGCCTTGTTTTTGGGTTTTTTTAAATGTTTATTTGAATTCGGATAGCTCAACAGTACAGAAGTACAACTACAAAGAGTACCGAATAGAAGGCCCCGAGAACGCGGAAAGCCTAAGGTTCTTCAACAACGCTATAAAGTTTAAACAATATTAGTGCATTGTCCTGGCATCACGGTCTTTATACCATCATATCCTACCATCATGTCCTATGAAACTGGCAGAAGGGTACTATTATCACGACGTCTTGCTCTGAAGAACTTATAATTTTCTTCAATTATCTAATGCTGGAGCCCAGTCCATGGTCACCAAACAACGCATTATAATAGTCGCTCGTATTCTCAAAGCATCGTGGTCACCACTGTCCAACTGTTCCAACCGGCCTAGTTGCCCACGCATGCACGAGACGTGCGCCAGTCGAATATGGTCGTGAACCCATGGAATACCTTTGTACACCCAATAGTGTTAAACGGTTCGTAGATAGGTGGGCTGGGTGAAACGTACATTTGTAGAGTCACTCTCACTTTGTCTCGGTCAACTGCTAGAAGTTAGTTTTGCCGGTGATGTTACAATGACATTGCTAGGAAGGTCGATATAACTGCATACGCATGTACAACCGTTGATTGCTTGTTGGACCCATGGCAATTGCCTCAATGTACTAGGTGTTCATGTTGCCCGAGACCAATTGTAACATTGTGGTCCTCTGCCTTTCATCCTCAACTAGGTGGTCTCGCAATCGATTTCCCGACCTCACTGCAAGTCACACTTAAATTGAAAGGAGTTCACGCCAGGCGGTGCTGTTAAGGCAAACGAGAGTGTTTGTCCTGGACTCCACAAGATTTTACATGCCATGTTCCAGCCGATTCGAAAGGACTACTAGAACGTGCTCTGTCGGTCTTGTGCTGTAACAAAGGCTACTAACCTTCGCATTGACCACGACTACATCTAGTTGATACAATTGTACTCGGCGGGTCTGACACGTGGGACTGAACTAAAGGAAAACCCAACGCAATCACCGACCACCGGCACGGGCAGGCTGTGAGGTGACAGGTGACCTACATTGTATCAGACACAGTGATTTCTCCTTGTTGCGTCTCCTCGAAAGGCGCCGCAGTCTTAGCTTTTTTCACTTGTCCTTGAATTAGCATCAATCTGCGTTTGATAGTTTTAGCGTTACTACAGTATTCTGTACTGAGTGCAACAGCAACATCAAAATAAAATGTAACGGAATGAACGCTTCCCATGCTAATATAAATACTCTACAGTGTAAGCTATTGAAGTTGAAGTACGCGCATTGCTATCACTTTGTACATCAAAGACCCCCCACCCTTTCACATACCACCATTCTTCTGGTGGTATGTGAAGGGCTCCCTGGTGGCTGCCATTACAATCAGTACGTACAGAATCATGCATGCCCGGTCAATTGACAGCATGACAGCTGTGCTGGCATTACTTCGGTGATGACCGCGAAGTCATCCGCGATGGACGGTCGCTGCTATTATAGTCAAATGCATGTAGCATTGTAGGGAACGGCGATGAATCTCTCATGCAGTGACTCTTTCCCTTCAGTTGAAGTTGAAGCAACGTAACATCGTTGGAGTCTTCTCGGAAAGCATCTGTTCTGAGAAGACGTTCTAGCTCCAAACTCAGTACATGTACATGTAGGGTAGCTATTCGACGAATCGTGTGTGCATGCAGCCAGTAACTGAGCTTAGCCTTAGGAGGATCATGGCCACAGCTAATAGTAACCATTACAGCAAGTACTGCAGGCAGGCCTGGAATTGCCAGCCAATCCCTGCACAAGCACATAAAGGAATGACGAAAGTATATCCGAAGTGCATGTGATATGCATACAATGTCATGTACATGTTGGCACAATTGTAGCGGGCCACAATGATGTCACCCATTTGACACCGTCCTCTGTGCACGTCGGTATAATTATTATTGTTTACAGCGGACGATTCTCGTTGAAGTAACTATCTCACGACATTTAACATTATCTCGTGCAGGAGTGAATTCTAGATGGAGCCAATCCTACGATTGTAACGTTTTGCAGCTGCCGGCGACAGTGCGAATCAACCCAGGCATGCATGGCATTGGTAAGTAGATCATCAGTTCTGAGATTTGCACGAAAAGATACAGGCGATCTCTGCGCGGGGCTTCTGACGCGACACATTCCTTATAAACGTTTCAGTCGATCCACTCTCAGTGTTTCGTCGAATTGTGCGTTGTAGTACGCTGAATTGGAGCTGTTCTGTCGGCAATTGTGACCTGCGAGAGATCGTTCTGAACTACCGTAGTTGTTAAGATTTCTAGAGAAGGACAGGGGCAGCCAAGATGGTATGATCAGCGCAACGTAGCAATACCACTTTTCAGCACCAG